GACCTAACTTTGAAAAGTGCGGTAGCAGTTGATCGAATGATGGTCACCAATAGTTCCAGGGCCAGTCTCTTGTCGATTGCTTGTCTTTGGACAGAATTTGCTTTTAGATACCAGGAAAACTGGAGCAGTAATAAAATGAATGCGTAAGAAGAGGGGAGACGAGGCTTTGTGCAGGAGAATGTATCTGCAGCTGAATAGGTGTGAACATCAACTGAACTAACCCATGGATGCTTCACTTTTCGAAGTCAGGTCAAAATGCCAGATTTGGCTAGAAACCTCTACCTAGGCGTAGTTCGCCCCGATAAACACGAATATGGCACTCGCTCAGCGCGAAAACGCCTGCACTGCGCGCCAAGGGCACCTGTACACATCTCCTAGATCATAAGGCACTAAGCGCGCCAGTAAGCGAACGCAAACTGTTTTTCAGGCAAGTCAAGGAGAGCGCTAATGTAGTAGTGACGCCACAACCACTTTTTGCCACGTTTGCGCAAGAAGCAAAAAAGTTAAGCTCAGCAGGGATCCGATCCCACGACCTGTTGCGTGGTAAACGCGGTGGAAAAAGCTCCATAACTCCGTTCAGATCGTTCTGCAAATTTCAAAGGCAGATTCGAGATCAGCGTCCAAAACCACGTCTAGTGAGCTACATCTCATTACAAATGGCCACTTCGACCTGACGACCTTCCCTAGTTAGTTCTGAAATGAAATGAAATGGCGAGATAAAGAAGCTAGAGTTGCGTGAGGATTGAAACTATTGCAATCACGATTACTTTCTCTCTGCAAGACAACGACTTGCAAGTGGAACGCTGTGTGTACCTGCCTGGAGCATCGTTGGGTGATTTCCTGCGCTCTTGCAGAGAACTGGTTGGGCGCCGAATCCTACTGATTAGTCCTGTCCGGCCCCACTGCTAAGGGGTGGGGGGTGTCTTTGTTCAGAGTGTTCACAAGGTTTTTTTTTGCTTCTTTCTCTACCGGGGAATTATTTATGGGCTACTGGTTCATGACTGAGCACCTACTATCCGTGACATTTAATCGCGGGAATTGTCTTCAAGTGGTCCAATGGTACTAGTTGTGAAGAGCATCAAGAAGCATTGGGGATTGTGATCTTCCGGAGCACTCTGTAATTTTCTTGACGAGGAGAGTGCGAACTGTGTCGCCATCTTACCCCTATGCCATTTCGCGGACGGATAGACAAACAGACCGATCTACAAGCCTGCACAAAAACCTGGGGGTTTATAGAATAAAGTGACTAATTTTTATTCAGATGCTATTTTTGAAAGCTTGGAGAAACCGGAAACTCTCGACCAGAAGGAAGAATTGGAATCGGTACTACAGTTTACCATATTCAACCCAGTGTGCGCGCGTGTACAGTCCTCATCATTGCGGACCGGTGGGGCGTGTCAGCCAGTATGAGTGTGCACACTGTTGAAGCCGTTCTCAGCCTTTTGTTGAAACGCGTATGCGACAAAAAGTGGTAGAAAACGAGTAATACGAAGGATATAATACAGTAATGTCACTTGCCCGCTTCAACAACTGGTGCAGAACGACTTTGGCACCGCGCCAAACGCAGCCGCACTGACACGCCCCACCGGTCCGCAATGATGAGGACTGTATGCGTGCGTACGTAACCGGAGAATTCAAAACCCTCCCCCAAGTCCCTTGTTTCAGCCGTGGAGAGTTCAAATACGTGATAGGGTGATATGATGGGAACATGAGCGTTAGTTGACAAGAAGTAGTAATAAGAGCTGACAGAGGGCTAGAAAAGGAGGGTTACCAATTTCATAGCGCGGGTCACAAGAGCGGTGCCAGGAAGTTATGTACGGGCAGTGCGGGAACACTGTCACTGATACTGACATAATATATGAACAAGATTCAAGAGAGAGGAGAGAAAGAGGTGTAGAAGAAAGCACTTTATGAAAATGACATCGAGGGAAGTTTTTTTAGGAAGAGAGCATGAAACGCATGGCAATAGATCGAGAGAAGAAGGCGTTTCTGGAAAAGCAGAAGGCCAAGCAAAAGTTGGCAGAACAGGCGAAAATGAAAACCTCGGTACGCTTGATACGCTGTTCACGTTTTACTCCGGGAACCGTCATGGGTCTACAAACTATAAAAACTGAGCAGTAAAGGGTGAATAGTAAAGACAAGAAAGCAGAGAAGCCGTTGCAAGTGCCCAGAACTCAGCACTGGACAGATATGAAGTGCACAGGGGTGCACGGGTGCCGGCAAAAGTCCGAATGACCGCGGATAGTTTAGCGCCCAGTTGAATACGCACTGACAATGGATAGTCACGGGTGGAGCTAGGAGAAGTACAAAGTCGGAGTTGAATCATAAGGCCCTGATCTTATGGTCTTCTCCAGAAGCGTAATTCTCTTAGCGCTTCGGGAGTGGCGAATTGGTACAGCACGTGCGGCTCCTAACCAGCTCATCGTGTACTGGGAAGGGATTTTGCCTGCAAGGTTATGTCACGCGGAGTGTGACTCTATGTGGAACGTTTTTGGCACTTTTCCGAATTTGATCCACAGGAACACAGTCTCTGGCAATATTTATGAGCGAGACTCATCACATTTTTATTGCGCTTTTTTAGGGGACGAAGGAAGTCACGGCACCAAAAGCTGCTCCTCCAAAAGCTTCATCGGTGCGAAAATCCAAGTCGCTCACTAAACCACTTGAAAAGCAAAAGGTAGAAGTACAAAGTCAATTTATATCTGTAAGGACGGTCCGTAAAGTGGAACAACCTCCGAGAGTCGCCGTTCGAAAAGTGAAGTCATCGCCGAAAGCAGACGCAGCAAAAAAGGGGGTGACAAAAAGTTCGCTTCTGCGTATGAGCGAGAAATTGAAGAAGGCAGAATTGTCACGAGAAAGTTCCCGAATTAAAAGCGCTGAAGCTCTACCAAAAGTGAAAAAGCCGACAACAGCGTCACAAAGAACATCACCTGTGGAGAGCCCGTCAAAGATGCTGCAGACCGTGGACGTGTCTCCAAAGGGAGTTAAATGGTCAGAGGTGCTGCCAAAAACTGCAAAGATAGGAGAGACCTCTAAAGAAACCTCTAAGTCTGAAGGAGATCGACCTCAGGCAGTAGCACGGTCTCCTTCAACAGATGACGTGACGACAGCAAGAGAGCGATCTGTCAGAGGAGCACGGTCCCCTTCTACTAGAGAAGTATCGACAGCAAGGGAGCGATCTCTCAGAGAGGCACGGTCCCCCTCTACTAGGGAAGTGACCACAGCTAGAGAGCATTCTCCTATGAAATCTCCTGCAATCTCTCCGCCTTCGGACACGCCTTCAGACCGATTAACTTGGAAGGAAGCGGACCCATCAGAGTTGACGAGCGTCAAAGAGTCGCCGTCGATGACCGAAACTGCCGTCGAACTGAGTAAGCATTCGCAAACTTCGATTAAGTTTATAGACTGCTACTTTTCAAACCATTAATCCTGCAGGTGTTAGGAGAGTTTCATCACTGCCCGCCATTCACGCCTATCCTTCAGAGGAAACCACCAACGCGTCATTACAAATATGTTTATGTTCGGCTTAACTTAGAAGGAGTAGGTCACGCTTTTGCAAGATTTTTTTTGTTCCGAAGAAAAAATACGGCACAATATTGTCTAATCCCACATCAGACGGGTCGGTGTCCCCCCCGATACAGGGAACGCGGGTCATATTGAGCATTGCTTTCCATCGATGACATGACTTCCTCGTGTTCGAAGATTCAGTGCTGAAAGAGAAATGCTGCCAAACCGCAGCAGTCCCAACATTCCTCGTGTTATCAATATTAATTCATGAACACCTGAGTAATTGTCTAATTTTCGCACCGTGTTTTAGCATCCAAGGGACAATCTCGTGGGATGGGGGCGCGAGTCAACCAAACTTAAGCATCAGTACCTCCTCAGTAGAATCAAACCGGAAATAACCCATATTCAGCCAACGACAGGGTTTATGCAGAAGTTTTCGTATATTAATTGATCATCATCATTTACTTTCCTACTGACGTAGAGTAGTATTAGATAGACAAGTGGCCCATGATAACCAGGCCCCCGGTTCGAGGGTTCCAATCCCTAATATCGCCTCCTTGTTCCCGAGCCAAGCCAAGCCTTACACTGTCAGAACGGTGATTGAGGCATAACTTTTGTCCTGAATGTATAAAAACCGGCGAAACCATCTGCTTATGATAAACCCGCTCAGCGTCATATAATACAGGAAAGTCTGGATCAATAGCCACTGCCCATTCGAGAGTGACATACCGTATGAAGCATCCAAAAGAGAAGGGTCACACAGCCGAGTTTTAATCCTTTATTCCCTCGCCCTTTTCCCCTATCCTCGCGCCTCTCATCACGCTCTGGTGCCTTTCTTTCAACTAAATACATCACGATTTCGGCAATCAGTTGCCTTAGTGTAGGCACACCTCTGCCAAAAAAGGGATCAAAGCAAAAAGGAGGAAGTATCACGTCCTCCCACGCAGATAATCTTACAAGGGCAGAAAATGGCACAAACACCTTTTCTTAGAGGCGCCTAGTGACTTCTCCTTAAGTGAAATCACTGTTGGGCAAGTGCAACAGGGCAACACTGGTCCGTTGGTAATTTTTCTGAAAGATGAATGTGCTCGAATACCATTGAGCTGATCCCAGAAAACCCAAGGATGAACCCAAGGACTTGAGCAGGATTTTATCACGGATTTATTATGATTACTCAGTTGCACTCAGCATAAGTGACTATTTGAGCAGTTACTTAGGTGGGAATAACCAGCTTTCATTCATTATTATTTCAGAAAACCCTTGACGCTATTTTAACTGAAAACCTTGTCTTAATATTTATCTCTACTAGTTCACCTATTTTTTACCACCTAGTAATTGGCGACCAGGTTTGTTTCGTTATACAAGGTAGATTTTGCTCATGAAAGGAAAAAGGAGATTGTAGGGTGAAGAATAAACAGTTGTGCGTTACTGAGATGCTAGTCAAGAAACAAGCATGTGAAACCGTCGAAAGCGCGGGTTGAATGAGATTGGGTAGGAATGAAGCATGAAAATACTGCCATCACTCATGCTCGGGGAAGGTTTTACATAAGCTACAGTTCGGTTTCGATCAAAGATGGAAAGTTAGATGCGCATCATATTTTATGATATTAACAGCCAAACACCGTGAAGAAATGGAGCTCTGTTGGAACATACATTGTGTCTCCACTTTTAAGGAGCGGTCCGTCCCAGCCAAAGCTATCAATGCAACCAGATAAGCAGCATGAAGCGAGTGCTCTGCAGTCTCTTATGGGATCATAGGATTCACAACAAGGAATTAGCCGACTGGACTGGTCCCATTACGCGGTATTTTGGCCTTTCGTTCATGAATTGTTCGAGGCTGGAGGGACCCTGAGGGCTTGACGACGTTATTGTTGGCATTTGATCTTCACATGCTAGTCACTTGACAATTTTTGTTTACATTTCAGCACCACTGCCTGTCGCCCCTTATCGCGGACCGTGCTTTTAACGGAGCTAGACTCTTAAAGGCAGCGCCCGCGTTCAGTTGAGGTTTCCCTCTCCCTTCGTGAGCAGGTAGCCAGGTCGCAGAGGCAGCGATTACACCACTTTTGCGGCGCAAAAACGAGTGAGGAGGCCCACGATACCGTCGTTCCTCTCATTGGCCCAACCCCCTATCATTGGCACCGCCCCGTTCATTTCTAATGGTTGCCTGATGGTGCGGTTGTTCTGCTACTAACTCTCTCCACTTCGAATGGTGAGAGTGAGGTGATAAGGGAAAACAGCTGATACCAACAAGTAAGAACTCGTGCGACCACGGCCTCTTTTCGCCTTATGCACGTACAACCTCACTTCGGATGGGGTTCTATATGGGACATTTCCGGCGGGTTTTTTCTGCTTTTTTCTTCACTGCTGGATCATTTGCTACCTTGCTATTACTATCTGAGCCGCATAACTCATCATATTTGAACGCGGGCTCGGCCTTTAAGTTGCTTATGAAAGGGAGTCTAACCGTTGCCAACCAATCCACTGCTCAAAGGGAATTCAGTGGTAGATATGTT